AATCTTTCTTTAAACTTAACACTTAAATGTGATTATTATCACAAAAATATTAAAGTAAAAGGTAAACACAATTTATTAATGCCAATTTGTTTTTTAATTGACATAATTGTTCAGTTACATTTATATTCTATGCTTCTATAAAAACTGTTCTTTCTATTAGACTATAAATACTAAAGATTAGAAATCAGTGTGTCTTTAAGTCATTTTTATATATTCTAACTCAGGACCATAATGAAAGTGATATAGTCATTCTTTGACATTTACCAGAAATACTCTCTATTTACTAAAACTGCCACCCGGTAGAGGTCCACTGTAATTGTATTTTGAGGGTAGAAGAAAAAATGATGGACTATCTATGGTCACTATTCACTTAAGGATATCTAGCTCCACTTCATAGATAAGATTTCAAATGTTGTTGTTTTATAATATATAAAGAGACATAAGATATTACCATTACAAGTACCAGCAGCTTTCACTACTTCTCCTATCATCCAATTTCCCCCCTCTACCCCTCCTCATTAAGAAACATAAACACACTGCCCTGGCTGGTGTGGCTCAGTTGGTTGGAGTGTTGTCCCATGCACTGAAAGGTTGAGGGTTGGATTTCCAGTAAAGGTACACATCCAAGTTGCGGGTTTGATCCCTGGTCAGATGGTGCAAATGGGAAGTAACCGATGTTTCCCTTGCACATTAATGTTTCCCTCTCTCTCCCTCTCCCTCTCCCTTCCTCTCTCTCTCAAATCAATAAAAACATATCCTTGGATGAGGAATTTAAAAAAACAACCATAGACACTCCTATCTGATGCTGCCACATTCTATCTTCTCACAAGGTTATGCCAGATGCCAAATGAAGAGCTCAGACTTAGACTTGCCAGGCAATTGATTTCCAAGTGGGTAGAACTTTTAACGGCCTCACTTGTTTTTCACACAAGAACGCCAAAAAAAGTTCCTAAAAAGCCAATGGTTGGTCACTGGCCAAGCGAGGGAACCTGCCAGCATTTATAATTTTTTTAATTGAAATAATTCAAAATTTCCTAACACCTTGCTTCCATCACCCCATTTTTATTTTCAGATACAGAGCTGTTGCTTCCTGGAGTCGTGTTCAGGGAATTGGGATTCCCTTGGTCACTGCCATTGAGATTGTCTCCATCTGGATCCTTTCTTTTATCCTGGCCATCCCTGAAGCAATTGGCTTCGTCATGGTGCCCTTTGAATACAAGGGTGAACAGCATAATACCTGTATGCTCAATGCCACATCAGCGTTCATGAAGGTACAAATAGCTTAAAGGGAATTAACTGGGGAGAGGAGGAGGGCTTCACTTTTACTTTACCATCACCACGACTTGTTGATACCTCTGCAGTACCCAGTGTGGTTTACTCTATTAGTTCAGTCAAATATTCTTCAGTTGCATAAAAAGTAGATGTTAAACTAGGGCTTAGTTTCTTGAATAGAACAATTATTTTGTTTTTACTTTTATAACACAACTGTAGATACAACTTTTGTTCTCTACCAAAAAACTCAGAATTCTGAAATGCATTTATTAGGAAAGAGAGATTATATGTATAAAGTGCTACTTCCTATATAATGAAAGCCTAATATGCAAATTGACTGAACTGTGGAATGACTGGCCACTATGATGCACACTGACCACCAAGGGGCAGACATTCAATGCAGGATCTGCCCCCAGCCCAAAGGCCCCAGGACAGCCAAGGCGGGTGTGAGCAGGGCCCCCCCAAATCGCCCCTCCAGTTGCCCTGTGGGGGGTGGGAGGGTAGGGGAAGGCTGGGGAGTGGGCAGCACCAGGCCGGCCAAGGTGGGTGCCAGAGGGGCCCCCTAATTGCCCCACAGATCGGCCCTGATTGCTGGCCAGGCCTACGGACCCTACCTGTGCACGAATATCATGCATTGGGCCTCTAGTGTTTTTATAATAAGGAATACAGCACAACTTCCATCTGACAGACATGCTGATACTTATTTTTGGTTACTCAGGGAAATATATGTTGCTCACAAATTTTTTAAAGATAGATTTACTGACCTAACTGGTTTGGCTCAGTGGATAGAGCGTCGGCCTGTGGACTGAAGGGTCCCAGGTTCGATTCCGGTCAAGGGATTGTACCTTGGTTGCGGGCACATCCCCAGTGGGGGGTGTGCAGAGGGCAACTGATCGATGTTTCTCTCTCATCGTTGTTTCTAACTCTCTATCCCTCTCCCTTCCTCTCTGTACAAAATCAATAAAATATATTAAAAAAGAAAGAAAAAAAGAAAGAAAGTGTTTTCCTT